CATCAAAAATAAAAAGGAATTTTGCAGAAACCACTGCAAAATCACAGCATGAATCTGAAGATGGCAGTCTCTGACTCTGATCTCACAGATTTCAAACAGGTTTGATTTAGTAGCCCTGAGAATATGACAATCAACACAACTTTATTAAAGATAACAGCAACAAAAACAACCACACACACACTAAATTAAAAAAGAAGGAAGAAAAGGAAGAAGGAAGGAAGGAAGGAAGGAAGGAAGGCAGGAAGGAAGGAAGGAAGGAAGGAAGGAAGGAAGGAAGGAAGGAAGGAAGGAAGGAAGGAAGGAAGGAAGGAAGAAAGGAAGGAAAAAACTAACAAATTCAACACTGTAAAAATTGGAACTAAGAGCCTGTCCTCTATGTTCCTTGTTAGGTTTGAAAAATAAGGAATCACTTTGATAGGAAAAAAAAAAGGTGAATGTTTCTATGAAATTTCATCTTGAAAAAGGAAACATCTGAACCTCTTAGAAATTTCCCCAAGTCCTGCACAAAAAGGAGGAGAGTCCCATAACCTAAATGAGCCCCTAGCACAGTGATGGTAGAACATACAGAGAAGCTAAGTGGTTCTGGTAACAATCTACCAATGGAAATCATCACAGTAGGGATTATACTTTGAATGTTCTTTCCGTGGGAACTCTGATGACAAATTATAACAAGGAATTTCCTTGTCAACCTGACATGTCTGTGTGGAAAGTTTTTATTTCAATAAATGGCTCCTTCCAACCAAAAGTACATTGCTGAAAAAACTTCAACCAGATTTATTCTATACACGATTACTCAGAAGTGATATTATTACATGACACATTCCTTTAAATGTTTACTTAAAAGAACCGAAAGTCTTTCCCACAGGTCACTCTGTCCCAGGTTAATGTAAAATATTGCTATAAACTGATTTTATTAAATTAATTCAGAGGACTGATTGGACTCTTTCACTTCAGTTGAAACCAGCTTGGTCTTCTTCTGTTTTTATGTGATTGCAAAACTTTCCCTGATTAAACAGAATTCAGATCATTGAAACAGGGTAACTAAGTTGGTGCATAGAGATAACGTAGAGATAACACTGATTCCCTCAGTGCTGAAAAGATCAGAGTTCAGATATCTTCAGGATGGAACATTTCAAGCTGGAAATTTCGTGTTTTCAAGATTTAGGAAAAATTTCTCCTCAGAATGGGTAGTAATGCACTGACACAGGCTGCCCAGGGATGTGGTGGGATCACCCCAAATGCGTTCCAGAACTGTGGAGATGTGGCACTGAGAACATGGGCAGTAGGCATGGTGGGACGGATTGGGATTGGACTTGGGGATCTCAGTGATCTTTTCTAACCATAATGATTCTGTGATTCTATGATTCTAAGAGCTAAGGGAAGAGCTCCAAGGGTGGCCACCTGTCCCCCTTGAAGTTCCTCCCATTTCTGAGGAAGTCAAGATTTGGGAAGGATGTTGCCCTTTGTTTAGTGGCCATTTTAGTATATAATCAATACAATAATAACAAACAAAGGCCAAATCTGTGTAACTGAAGTGGATATAAATCAATACTACCATTAAGTAAATTGATTATTTTCTTAAACCCAAAATTCTCCATGAATGTCAACAAGCTTTGGCTCAAGCCTTTAACACCCTGTAGTAAGCCTTACAGTGCAAGATGAATTGGAGGGGTCTTCACTGACCAACAAAAGTCACCATGCATTTCCCAAACAAAGGTGCTGAAGGTGCCAGAGAAGTCACATAAATAAAATAACAAAAAATAATTGACACAGAAAATATTTGTTATCCTTATTTATTTAATAAAGAAACATAATAAACTTGATTTTTTTTTTTTTCCAGGTACAAACAGCTTAATATGTCCTATGATATTGGCTGATATTTTCCTTGCTCTTTTCGTAGCTTGAGTGATTCACGTGGTAGCCTTTATTGAACAAATCAACATAAAAAATGGTAGCACTCATGCTTATAGACAGTGTGGGCCAACTATTAAGTCAGTGTCTTTAACTAAGTCACTGTACTGGGAGGACATATCATTGCTGAGTACAAATTGGCATCTCCATTAATAAAAACCTGCAAGTGAGGCTATCTGAAGTTTTGGAGGGGAGTTCTGCATACCATACAAAGATACCATTCTCTCTTCAGCTTTAAATAAATGTTCTTTGAATCGACAATTATTTTTTAACAGATTTTGGGTAAAAACCAGAACCAGTTATATTGCAGTAGTACTACAGGATCTCACAGCAATGGCAATGAAATGTTCAACGCATGAGTGAAATGACCCGAGGAAGAGCTCTTCTCTAGTATGACCAGTTGCCAGCTTATCTTTGCACTGCATCCCATTCATCACAGGGCCACACTCTTATTAAGAATACAAGTTGAATTTAAGTTGCAAATAATTAAAGTATTTGTAAAACAGTGATCAGCACAGCATTGCTATGTGCAGGATGACTTTTTTGTTGCTTGTTTTGAATATTACGTATTGAATGGTAAAAATTAGATAAGAAATCCTCTTAATTCTTAGCTTTTTTCCTCCTTTTTTTTTTTTTTTTTCATTCCAAAGCTTTGAAAGGAAAATAATTTTACCAGTTGTCAGCCAATAAAATGCTTGTTCAGCAGGTAATGCATGTACTATTTCCTAATTAAACAGTTTCATTATAGGCAGCAGCTCATTTCTAATAATCAATAAATCCCACTGAGAACAAAACATTTTAATCAGTAAGTCATGTCCTCTGAGTGTCAGTCACTCTATAAACTCACAATATACTTATATAGGTATGGGTATATGTGTGTGTGTGTGTGTATATGCATATAAATATAAAAATCGCATACTCTTTCTGGGTGATATGTACAGTCAGAATAAGATTACAGCATAAATACACAGGGAATCCGTATAAAGTTTCTCTAATTTGAGAAGCCTTGAGCAATTTTCTTTTTTTGGGGTAGAGGGGGGTGAGGGGAAAGGATGGTGAGGAGGGAGGAAAGAATAAAGAGTGTTTTCACTTTAAGGAACGAAGAGTAGTTCCCTTAGGTTAGAATCTAATTACATACAAGATTTAAAGGCAACAAAATCTCCAGAGGAACAGCCCTATGTTATACACCATAGACATGGGGTTAAAAGGGCAAGAGAGCATGATTATTATTATAATACTTATAGAATACGTTTCATTCCCTTATAGCACTTTGCAACCAGAAAGTCTGACAACACCCCTGTGAGGTAGGTAAGTATTATTACCCCCATTTTACAGATGGGTAAACTGAGGCACAGATAGGTTCAATTATTTGCCTAAAAATCATGTAGCAAGAATCAGGAATAGACCCCAGGAATCCTGCTGGCAAATCCTCTGCATTATCCAATAGCCCACTGTCAAATGAATGCCTGAGACACCTCTCAATGAATGGAGAGAATAATTAGCCCGTATTTACAGATACATAGTCATCCTCTTGACATGTTGTCTTTACACATTTTGACTTGTTTAGAGGACAGAACAATGGCCATAGACAAAATTTGCTGTAACATGTTGCTTTAATTCTTGTTGCCAACCCCATGTGGATTTTGACACCTTTACAACCTGGGATGTAACTAAATGTCAATCACAATACACCTTAAATACATTCTTGATATCTTTGCTTCTCCAAGGTGAAAAGCACAATTACTCTTCCTTAAAGTGCAATGGCTCATTACAGAAATCTCAAGATTTTTCACAAAGTTCAACCAAACCAAGTACAATCAGTCTGAAGGTGAAAAAGAAAGAACCTGTCTGCAATGACAGAATTGTCTCTATATTCCATAGATACTTTCTCATATTCTACCACAGCTGGAAGTTTAATAATAAATAATAAGCTATGTTAGCACATAAAACCTCTAATACTTTTCTACAGCCACACATCCACCTTCCATTCTGTTGTCATTTCTTTGGCCTGAAGCTGATGGATGCATCAGCTGTAAATATTCCTTTGCCTGCAGGAATGAGGATGTTTCTATTTTCTAGTGGACTCTTATCATTGGTTCCTATATTTCTTGTCCTTCCCCAGTCATCTATCTCTACCATCTGATAAAATGAAAGATGAATGCTGAGAAGAAAGGATTCAAAACCTTAAGGGTTACGTACAGATCCAGGGGCGATTCCCCTCCAACCTTCTTGAACACACTGCTGCAGCCATTCCTCGTGACCCAATCAGTGTTGTTATGATTAATAATACTATTTTTGGAGTAATATTGATGCACAGAGTTTCCAAAAAGGCTGCTTAGCTCAGTGTTCCTGGGAAAACATAGCCTATCCCATGCCTTTAACTCTGCCAGCATAGACGGTGCCTTGAGCACTACACACAAGTGATGCACTACTTCTATGGCGAGTTTGATTGCAGTATTCGAAGCAGATTCTTGAAACAAACTACAAAATTAGTGCTTTTATTAACAGGTTTACAAACAGAATCCATTACTCTCTGGTTCCTGAAGGATAAAACAAGCAATTTCTCTTACGATTTTTGTCATAATTTCCTTCTCTCTTTTTTTTTTCTTTTTTTTTCTTTCTTTCTTTTTCTGTTCCTGCTGATGAGCAGTTGCAAGTCCCAGCGGGGAGAGCTGAGTGTAATAAACAGTTAAATGTTGCTAACTGGATGGTTTACTTTGCAACAACTTTCCTCTTCAAACAACCGGGATCCCGCAAGTTCCTATTACCTTGACTCAGAGTTCATCATGAAGAGTGTAAGGATCATTAATCTCCATGGAAAAAGAGACTTTTTTAAGTAAAAAAATATCAAATATAATAAATTTATGAAAGACCATTCACAACATATACAGTAAGTGTTACATTTTGCTACAGCAGCTGTGATATATTTTTTTTTTCTTTTTAGAATGCAAGGTCATACATTGCCATAAGTAAACACACTAATATGAGTAAGACCTTAAATGAATGTATACAGCCAGGCTTTATCTGTGGATAGATATACACTGTGTTTACTGTTTTACAGTCTAGCATATTCCTATTCACACCATTGATATAACAGCCATGACCCTGCCAAGATTCTTCCTGTGCATATATAAATATAAATATTGAGCCAAGTCAAAAAGAGCAGGGTCAAAGGTTATATGACTTATTAGACTCTTGTAGTTAAGGGTAAAAACTCCACTGTTTCTTTCGCAACTAATGTTTAATAAAAAGGCTGCTTCAATCGTTGTGTAGTTACAGCATTACATTCTGTAAACAATATTTTAAAGCATTCTAAACAGACATTTAAACAATTGATTCTTTATCTCTGTCTGGCGAGAGCAAACAATCTATGGCCTCATCACTTCTGCTCGAGTCTGTCAACTTCAGCTGGAGATTCTCGCTTGTACCTCTGGTAACGCTGTCGTAGGATGGAGGGAAGGACGTGGAGGACAGGGTTTCTGATTTGTCTATTGGCCTGCCGTAGTTTTCATTCATCATGAATGCAATGAGACCCTCCTTCTCGGGTGCATCGTCCTCGAGGATGCTGCCATCGAAAGTTCTGTGTCGGTACAAGTAAGACGCCTGCTTCATTGAGCGCCGAAACAAATGTCTCCTGTAGGCGCGCTGGATGACGATGGCTGAGACCTCTTCTTGTTTCCGTCTGAGAGTTGTTGTTATTGGTTCGTAAGAGATCTTGGATGGATTCGCCGCCATGAACTTTTCTTCCATTTGTATTTTAAGGGCATCCATCTCCCCAGATTCTCCTAGCACCCTTTTTGTAAAAGCAAACAAAATATCCAAGCAATGGATCCTATCTCCACTGACCATGGGCAGGTCCATTGCTATGAGTTTGATTTTGTTTGGTTTTGCTATGCGCAAAGGTTCTGACAGTGCATCTGCAAAGTCTGAAAGTGCAGAATACTCAATAAACTGAGTGGCTTCAGGGTCAAACTTCTCCCAGATTTCATAGAACATATCAAAATCATCCTCACTTAGAGGCTCTGTACTTTCCTCAGTGGCTACACTGAAGTTCTCTAAAATAATGGCTATATACATGTTTACAACAATGAGAAATGATATAATGATATAAGTAACAAAGAATAAAATCCCTACAGCAGGACTTCCACAGTCTCCCTTTGAACCATTTGCATTTGGAAGGTTTGGGTCGCAATATGGTGGTCCAGTGTTCAAAATAGGATTGAGAAGACCATCCCAGCCAGCTGACGTTGTGATTTGGAAGAGACAGAGCATGCTGTTAGCAAAAGTTTGGAAGTTGAACATGTCATCAATCCCATACTCCTTCTTAACATAGGCAAAGTTAGCCATGCCAAAAATGGCATAAATGAACATGACCAGAAAAAGCAGGAGGCCAATGTTGAACAGAGCAGGTAGGGACATCATTAAGGCAAAAAGGAGAGTTCGAATTCCTTTGGCTCCCCGGATGAGTCTTAGGATCCGGCCAATTCGAGCCAAGCGAATGACTCTGAAGAGTGTGGGAGAGAAAAAGTATTTCTGAATGATGTCAGAAAGTACGGTGCCTTGAAAAGAAAAGACAAACAGCAAGTTATTACCTTGGAAATAATCCCTGATTCCCTTTAAAGAAATCGATGAGGATTATGGAAAAAAATCAATGAAAAGTTCTGCAAACTGGAAGACCTGAGATAAAAGGAATGGCAATATCTTTAGCATTTTCACGGTCACTTAATCCATGCAAATTTTGTTGAGACTCTGAGCAAAGGTGTCAATGGTAGTTACAGTTTTATAGAGGGAAAAGTTATCTATTGGGAATGAGAAACCAGAATCAGGTCAGATAGGACATAACTATCTGCAGCTTTTGGTCATGAGCCATTTATCTGGAGTACAGCTGGTCAAGAGTTTTGTTAGCAAGTCAACAAGTTCTGTGATTCAACTTTGTGTGCTGGGTCTGTTTTCACGAGCAATAACCAAAATAGTGCAAATTCCTACTGAACACTGGCTTGGTTGCTTGCTCATTAGCTTTTCTAGTCTCCCTGATGAGCTGGGAAAGAACTAAGGGCTAAGGCTATTCTAGCAAGAAATAAGCTTGCATTCCTGTGGCTAAACTCTCTTCCCTGCAGAAACAGAGCAGCTTTGGCCAGATTGTCTGCTGTCAGCAGTCTCCAGATGCAGTGAGACATGGCCAGCTCATGCCATCTCATCCCCTACTTGGGAGAGACTTTTTTGGCATGGCCCAACTCCTCTGACACTGAAACAACCTGGTTGATCACAGGACACAGCTATGGCCAACACAATGGCTCTGCTTAACTGGCTGCCATGGACATGCCCACAGCATGAAGGCTCTGATAACAGCTGTGTGACAGTGATGTTCCCTATACACTCACAAAGCTGAGAGCAGCCAGACTCACTGCACCTACCCATAGCTGACCAGAAGAAATTTTTCACACTTATGAAGTGAATATCAAAATAATAGCAGTTTGCATGTGCCCTTTTCATGCGGCTTTTTTACTTCTCTGACTTAGACTGTTATCCAGCACATGGCTGAAGTGTATGCTGCTGGTTTTGTACCATGTTTTATGTTCATGCCATTGAAATCAGTACTATAATACAATACAACGACACCAGTTATCTTCATCACTGCTGTCAGAGTGTTTGAGTGTATTTAAATATTAAAAATCACTTGGAATCCAGTTCTCTGAGTGATTTTTTTTCCCCCACAAATCTTTCAACTCTAATTAAGTTTACATTCACCTTTTAAGTTTGTGTGTTTAAGTGCTTCTCTGCCATTCAGATTCACCTACCTACGATAGACAGAATCACGACGACAAAGTCAAAGATGTTCCAACCATTGGTGAAGTAGTAGTGTCGTAGTGCCAGCATTTTGAAGATGCACTCCCCAGTGAAGATGGCAACAAAAAGCATGTTGATTTTGTGGAGGATGTTCACTTTTTCCTGACTTTGATCATCTGTTTCTACCATCATGGTAACCATGTTAAGGCAGATGAGAATCATGATGGAGACATCAAAGGCTTGTTTTGAGACAACATCAAAAATAAAACCTTGGTATTTGTTCTGGAGGAAAGAAAAGAATTGTTAGTTAGGAGATTTGAACCATGTCAAAATGATGACATGATTTTGTGATTCATCAGGAAGCAGTGGAAAATAGACTACATACCAGCACTTCAGAAACAAGAAGATGATGATGGATAGTTGGATGATAGAGTTTTCAAACCCATTTACACCTAATGATTCTTGAAACTACTGAAAATAGAGACTGGATTGAGGCCATGAATTCATTCAGTGCAGACATGTGGCCACTGGAATGACTGCATATGTAAATTGGATTTTTAGTCAATACAGCAGAACAGTGGAAATTCTATACTACACAGGAAAGTAGGATTGCAAATACTGTCCAAAATCATAATATGTAAAAGAAAAGTGGCTTTCATCTGGGAAGTGGGACAGCATTTATTCTATTAAATAAATCTCTATCTATCACACATTATTCAACTGAATTATGCCATTCTTACCAGTGGTCTTGGGATTGGCTTTTGAGGTTTCTTAGATCCCAACTTTTTCATTGCATTATAATACTTTTTCTGTTCTTCTGTCATAAAGATGTCCTGGCCACCTAAGTATAGGATGAGAAAAACACTGTTATTTCCAATGAAAGAGCCCCACTGCCTCCATCCAAAATCCAGGGCTGTATTGTCTTCTGCTGTGGGGAGATGAGGGGCTCCTACAACTCTGATTTTGTAGAATTCTCACAGAACAGTTGTGCTAATGTTAATCTTGTGGATAATGTGTCAAAGGTGCTGCTTATAAATTGATCTCTTGGCCTTGTCTCAGCAGTGATCCCAAGATGATGCGCAGCATATTCAATACTTATCTTTTTCTTCTGTTGGTTGAAATTGTCAATGATGACACCAATGAAGAGGTTCAGTGTGAAGAAAGACCCGAAGATGATGAAAATTACGAAGTACAGGTACATGTATAAATTACATTCCCATTCAGGCTGCTCCTCACACTGCAGAGGGAAAAGGGAAAACATGAAAATGACACCAAATCTGCAGAGATCAAAATATTAATGCAGTCCAAAGAAAACTATCCATCAGCAACAAAGATTATGAAAGAGGAAAAACAATGCAACTCCCACAGCAGAGTCAGCGCTTCACAATTTCTGGTATCTGAAATGGCATGTTTAATTCAGCTGTATTTTATAATACTGTCAACAGCAATCACTCTGCCTCAAAAAGTGCAACTTCAGAATAAATCCTATAAATTGTTCTCAGTTTGAACACAGAAGGGGAAAAAAATCAGTCTTCTGGTTATCCCTCATCTTATATGAACTAATGGCAGTTGGAAAGAAACAAAAGTAGGATCACAGTAAAATCAGGTGCTACTGAAAAACACTGGATTTAGAGTGAATGTGTTTAGAATTATATCTTCTTAATAGAGACTTCAATATGCAAACTGTTTTGATAATAGTACTGACATCAGGAAGAATTTTTCCAAGGAAGAATGGTATCCGAAAAACCCGTAGCACAATCCTGGAGTCAGAAATCCACAGAGTTCTGGGTTATCATCAGCTTATCCATCTCAGATAGAATGGAGAAAGGAAAAAATCAGGGTGTTGCAAAGGAGCCCAGTGGCACTATGGGTGGCTCTGGCTTTTCAAATCTTTTTTGTGCGTAAATCAACATCATACAGAGGTGATCCTCTGTTGATGCCATGAAGTTTTTTCAACATTTGTCCTTCCGTTCAAGGCTTGACTCCCTGTTGGTCAATTCAACCTGACTAAATTCATGAGTACTTATCTCAACATTTAACAGTAAGTGTAATCTTGTGCCTTAAATTAATTAAAAGAGGGAAAGGAGACAATGCCTCCTTCCATTAAAAATAAATACCAAAACTTAAAAAATCCCAGTGCTTCTCAAGAGGTTCCTGTAATTAAAAATTCAATCCATGGCAAATACAGCAGTCAATGGGGAGAGTGGAAGAAACAGAATAGACAATTTAGGTTTTTGGTAGACTCAGCCTCACTCTGGAGATGCTTCTCCGTGCTGGGAGTTTTCCAGGACAAACAGATAAATTAATTGAATAAATCTGTGGGCTGCATTTGATTTAATTTCAGGGTCATGAGACTTCAGTACCACCTGCAAAAAAATGAAGGTCTGCAATAGGCTCAAGCAGAGTAAAATAGGGACTGGCAGCCTGCATGTATTTTTGCTGCTGTTGTTAAACATCCTGAATGTGGCAAAAGTCAATGGAAAAGAAAATAATCTCTTTCACTGTTGTGACCTACCTCTCGTGAATCCACTGCTGCATACATAATATCCATCCAACCTTTAAATGTAGCCTGAAAAGAAACCACAAAATACATAATTGAGCATATTAAATTAGCATATCTGGAAATGATGGTATCATCATTGTGATGTCTTTCCAAAACACAGTGTTGAGTATGTTCTTCATAACTAATGAATTGCTTCTCCTTTAAAGTAAAGTATATCCATCAGTTCATGCTCAGTTAGTCACTTAAAATCATATATAGGAACATGATATATGATGCAATTATAGGGGTAGAACAGAGGCTTTTAATAGAAGTGGGGAACATGGCAATTAAGTCTTCTGGAGCTGGAGTAGGAACTTCTTTATACCTTAACAAGCTCAAACCATCAAGAAGCAGGACTCCATAGGGCAACTCAGAGTGCCTGTATCACACAGGTCTCAGGCCAGGGAAGATGGATTCCATCTCTAACACTGATTCAGACTGACAAGCACTGGGTACATTTTGGGGTCCCACTGAATCTTGGATTCTGCCCTCTTAAAAGATGGCTTATGAACAGTGTAAATTGAGGCAACGTCAAAGCCAGTGGGGTTGCATGAATCATTGCTGGCTTGAAAGTTACGAGGGCAATCGGCAACTGGTGTGAGCCTGGCCAAGGACAATCAGCCTGCTTCACAACTCAGATACGACTTTTTAAAATATGAAGATAAAAATCAGATTTTGTAATTATTAAAAAAAGACATAAGATTTAAACAAGGACAGCCTCCGTGGAAATCAGTGTCTATTACTGAAGCCCGTAATAAAAACAGAGGAGTGTCAGTTCCTAGAAGAAACACAAGTGATTTTAGTTATTCTGTAGCAAAAGCATGGCTTTTTGCTGTCAATATTTGCCTCTCATTAGACACAGACTGATGCCAAACATATCTGGCTTTAGTCTGGCTCTGGTCTAAGCCACGTTACCTTTATAATTGTCTGCTGGGGTTGTTTCTCATTTGACTTCTGACCTACTTAGACTTACACTGCATATAAAATCAGTGAGTAGATAACGAGGCATTTTTAGATGCACTAATTTAATTGGATTTACGCTAGCATGCATGACCCACACCCAATATTTTTTTAAATCCTACTGACACCTAGGTTGAATTTTCTCCATGTTGTGCAGGCATGCAATTCCAGATAACGTTAAATGGAATTTAGGCAGGAGTTCCCAGCAGAAACCCAGACATTTGTGCTGAGCTGGATATATCCAGTGGTTTTAGAAATGCTCCATTATCCACTCTGTTTTTAAATTAAATCCTGGAGGTAATGCTGCTATTCCCTTTTCCACTTAACACTACCAATTCAAAGGAAAACGTACCTGAGGCCAACCATGTTTCTTCCTCAAGGAAGAATATGTAAAATAATTTATGAGAGAGTACATTTGTTTCCATTTACTGAATAAAAAAGATGAACCTCCTGAATCAGAACTCTTTGGAAAATCTGTGCTGTGGCGCAACGTATGACAACACACTTCAGATGTAACGTAATTACAAGAATGATCAGGTGTTATTTCTTTAAACCTGACACACTGATCTTCTTTAACTGTTCGAATATTTTCCTTTTTCACTGTTCTCTCTCTAATCTGCTGAATGATTTCCTGGTGTCATCACAGTCACTTGCAATTTCAAGCTCAAACTGCTCTTCAGGAAGAGTGGATGGGATGCAATGAGAAACCCTTTTACTCATGGCACAAAACGATATGATCTTAGTCCATGCTTTTCTCCCACTTGTGAGGGAATGTTTCCACTGGAGGAGCTATTTTGCCCCTTGACATGTACCACAGAAGCAAGAGACAATTGCAAGTTTGCAATGATAACAGATGATGAAATGACCTGATGAAAATAAATATTAAGAGAATGAAGAGCAGCAATTTTCTGCTTTTTCCCAGCAGTCCAGAAGAAGGACAAGAAAAAATCTCCCAGGCTTCTGGAAAGCTTCCCTAGGCACTTCATCTGCGGAGGGTAAGAAGTACTGAGAATGAAAGAAATACAGCACTGGGGAAAGAAATTATCTGGAATTAGTAACCACTTACACTCCGGATAAGGAAGTGACAAAATCTTCATGGGAGTGTTGGTGATATTATCCTGCCTGGAAGCTATCCAGAGAAGCACCATTTTTACTGAAACTGTCATGTGATGAGATTATCTACAGATAAAATCCTGGGATGGGATTACGTTCTGTTATTTGACTGATGGTTGAAGCTGCAGTGCAGAAAACGAGTGGGGAGGAGGAGAGGTGGCACGGCACTGGATGCCCTCAAACCATTTATTGTAAAACCAAACGGTACCTTAAAATAAATCAAGCCTTCAAATTTGCCTGGGTGAACAATTTTTTTTTCTCTTTTATTCTAGAAAAAGGCCGCAATACTGCAATAAAAATAACTGGTTTAGAAGACAGAAATATTGGTCCTTGCATTTCTGAAATGCTTCTTCAAGCATTCTCACTGTTGGCAGACACTTCTGAAAGTTAAGAGAGATGCCAACACTACGGCCAAATTACACATATTTAAGATGGCTGCACCAACTCCATTCTCTTTTCTTCCTTCTTTCTTTCTTTTCTTTTTCTTTTTCTTTTTTTTTTTTTCCATTCCATTTGATTTTATACAAAATAATCTTCTCACATTTATTTTGCTGAGGAGGGCACTACTGAGCACTGGACACACCAGAGCACCCAAGACATTTGCATTGCTTCTGGGCTCTGCTATCTTTGAAAGCACTCGTGGAACTGCTTCTTGCTTCCAATCTTTGGATACACAGATAAACCTTTATGGTTGTACCAAAATATGGTTTGTTCAGAGGTACGCTGATTTTTTGAGCATTTTGCAGCTGCAGTGAGGGTAAAATGCAGCATATTGTTTAGCAAAGTGCAAAAGATCATGTAACCTGGTAAACTTAGACACCTCCCGCTATCTCGTGATCATTCTGTAGCTGGTTTACCAGCTCAGTCATGACTTCCCATCTGTCCTGAAGGACTGATTTAACTCTACAGCTCCTGGTTGGTGTGCTGGTCTTAGAGTGCTCCCATCATATTTCATTTCCTATCTGGAGACCCAGAGTGACAAAGAGTAGTAGGATCTAATTGATGTAAGTCCGTACCATCCAAGAACAAAGTATATGAAGATTAATTTCTACAGTCAAGCAAGATGCTAGGTGAAAAACAACTTCTTCTCTTGATGTTCTTCACTGGACTGCTGAAATTTTGAGATTCACTGCAAAATATACATGGGGGGTTATTATAGTATGAAAGCAAGGATTCTGCAATGGAAATGAAAAAATCCTACTGGGAATTGAAGATATTTATTTGTTGATATCTGCAAAGCAATTCTGGGAATAGAGAAAATGCAATACTGAAGGACTGGGTTGTAGCAATAATTTCTTCTAATAGATTAGGGTGTTATGGGATTAAATTCCCAGCAGAGCAAATCTTCACTCTTATACATTAAAAAATCATGATAATAAAGATCTTTTCCTCTCTCCATGAATAAGATATTTCTCTTACTTGTAGAGTAAGTCTACATCTTACTTTAGTCATCTGTTGTGAGACAGTCCTTAGTGAGCCTGAGAAACTTTAAACTCGAATGACCACTTCAGTGGTATTAGTTAAGGCATCTTCAAAACAGCACTGATCCTCAGTGAGGTAGGAAAAGTGCAAATGCTGTTTGGAAAAAGTTTCATGAACTTGTCAATGGCATTATCAGAAAGTTTGCCTCTGGATAGCATTAAGCCTTAAGGGTGCTGTAGTAGCAGCTTTTCATTTCTTTCAAACCTGCTGTAGAAGTGAAGACAGAACATCAGGCAGACAGAATTTGTTTTACACATTTCCATTTGGATTTTCAGATATATATCCAGGCATCCAAGGGTAATTCAGAGTCATTTAAAGAAGCTGAAAATGTCAACACTCAAGAGACAAGCCCCACTTAAAAGCTCATATTTTGCATCCCTGAGGGTGCTAACCAAAATGCTTATCTCATCATTACTACACAGTGTCTCAGCATACACAAAGATGCAGCATGTATCTGTTCTTTTAGGAGAGCTGCACTGTTAACTGATCCCCTGCAATTCCTACAACAGTTTGCCCATGAAATGTGAGCTCATATGGAGCATATTTGGCAAGAAGTGCCTGTAACTGACACTCCTTGGCTGGAGTCTGGCAAAAGAGATCCAGATGTTTGGGCCCATTTTCTGTGGGTGTCATCTTTACATTTTATTGTCTAAGCCTGTCGTTAGCAGCAGACAGAAGAGCTCCAGGTGCACGACAAAAGTCAAAATCGATACCCTAATGGCATCTGGCTCCTGGAGAAAGGAGCCAGCATCTGCCATAGAAGCTGAGCAAGGTTTTAAGATTCCTTCTCTCCTTGACATAATGAGCTTGTCCAGCCTGCGCAGACTCCATGGTTATGGCACTTCTTTTGTACTTCTGCAAGTTTCTGTACTTACTTTCTGTACTTCTGTACATCTGCACCTACAGCAAGTCTACAGACAACACCAAGCTAGAAGGAAGGGATGCCATCCAGAGAGACCTGGACAGCCTTGAGAGGCAGGCCTGTTCCAACCTCACGAAGCTCAACAAGGCCAAGTGCAAGGTCCTGCACCTGGATCAGGGCAATCCCAAGCACAGACACATATTGGGCAGAGAATGGCTTGAGAACAGCCCCAAGGAGAAGGATTTGGGAGTGTCAGTTGATGAAGGACTCAACATGAGCCTGCACTGCAGCCCAGAAGGCAAACCATATCCCGGGTTGCGTCAAGAGAAGTGTGACCAGCAGGTCGAGGGAGGTGGTTCTGCCCCTATACTCTACTCTCCCTGGAGTACTGTGCCTAGTTCTGGAGCCCCCAACACAAGAAGGACATGGAGCTGTAGGAGCAGGTCCAGAGGAGAGCCATGAAGATGATAAGAGGACTGGAGCATCTCCCCTATGGAACTGAGCTGAATTAGCAGCGTTCCAGTACTTGAAGGGGCCTACAGGAAAGCTGGGGAGGGACTTTTTATGAGGACAGGTAGTGACAGGACAAGGGGAAATAGCTTTAAACTGGAAGAGGGTAGATTTAGACTAGATATTAGAAAGAAATTCTTTACTGTGAAGTTGGTGAGACACTGGAACAGGTTGACCAGCGAGGCTGTGGATGTTCCCTCCTTGGAAGCCCCAGGATGGGGCTGTGAGCAACCGGGTCTAGAGGGAGGTGTCCCTGCCTATAGCCAGGGCATTGGAACCAGGTGATCTGAAATGTCCCTTCCAATCCAAACCATTCTATGATTCTATGATTAAGTGGAAACTCTACTTCTCTGCTACCCAGTATAAGATCATAGGTTTGAAAGAAATCTGCAGGATCATCAAGTCCAACTTCTGTTGAAAAACAGCAGTATCAGACTATTCCTTTGATAATAGTAACACATTCCCAATATGTTGAGCTCCAACTTATGACCAATTATGTTCATCTAGTTCTAACCCTCAGGTGTGGGCAGAGGTGCCAAAGACTGCATCAGGCAATAGATCACGTTGCCCAGGGCACCATCCATCATGGCCTTGAACACCTCCAGGGATAGGGAACCATCTAGAATTTCAGTGCATATCTGATGGAAGCTGCTCAGGTCTGCGTTCATTATATTTACTTAACTCAGAGTCAGGTCTCATGAACTCTCTTGGTAGAGAAAAATCTGAATGTCTCATTATTTCCAGGGTTCTTTAGAAAAAAATGTATATATATTAGGTATGTCTTCTGATGCATTTTTATTTCGCCAAACAAATGAGGCATCTGGAATGCAGTCATGGAGGAGATAAGCTTCAGGTGAGGCACAGTATTTTAAACTGGAAATTTTTGCTCAGCTACACTGGGTGTTTAAGTAGAAGACAAAGAAATCACTATATAGAACGGAAAATCTAATTAAAGCTGTTCAAAGTGAGTTAATCTACCCTGCATGAGTGAGCTGAATATCATAATTACATGCAAAAGATAAAAGTGCTTGCTCTCAGTTCAACTTTATGACATGAAAAGAACCCTAAATGGCTATGCCCATTCTAACCCTGCTGCTTTCCAGAGAGCATGAAAGAAAAGTCTCCATGGACAGGGGTCAAAAAATCACACACCCAAGTGTATGTGTACCAAGAATGGAAAACATAAGTATATAATAATAATAATAATAATAATAATTTCTAGGAGAAAGAGAGCTACTTCGTGAAGATATTTTATGTGGCAGTGATAAAGAAAAAAAGCATCTGACAGGAAGAATTTTTGCATCTGGTGATGTAATAGAAGCAGAAGATAGGACAAGGGACTTGTGGGAGGTCCACATCTTCTTTGAAGGACAGATGTTGGATGTCTCTGTAAGACGAGTGAACTGAGCAACTGAGCACCCAGCATGCAAGATTTTATTTATGAAGTGATGAGTGGCATCACAGACATTTCAAAACAGCAACATCCATGTCCAAGGATATATAGCAAGGTATTGGTTTCACTCTTGGTACGTAAAATGCAACATAGCCAGCACTTCTTGCATTCACCCATCCCTTGCAATCACTAGGCTTCAGAGCAAATTAGGAACAACAGAAATAAGTATCATTATCACCACTTTACATGAGGGCTCCATGGAACTGAAACAAAAAACAATTTGCCTAAGATCACACAGCAGGCCAGTGACAGAGCATGGACAAGAGGATGGCTCTCCTGTGGCTTTAGCCATTAGGCTCTGCTGTCATACAGCACGTTCAGTCTCTGTGTACACAACCTGTTTATCCATGTTCTACATTTCCTGCTGAAAAAGGTCATAAAAGTGGCTCACGTCTGTCTTTATAGATCAAATACTGCAGTCAGCTTTGAACTTCAACAACATTCTTTAATATGCTCTCTCTAGTCTTGGAGAGAGATGGGAATCTCTGGAGTTCCTGCAGTTTGATCAGCGCTGTGTTTCACAGTTACGTTCAAGCTGACTCATTATGTTTAGCAGGTGGAAATGAGGATGAGGATCCAGAATAAGAGCCACCAGTCCTTCTCAAACATCACTGAAAGATTCCTCTGCAACTCCAGCTTTGTGCAGTGACTTCAGCTAGTAACTAATGGTGCTGGAGGTTTGTTTTTTTCTGAGAAGGAAATAATGAAGGCCCAGGTGATTTAGGAAGGCCAGTGGACTCTGTCCACACGAACAGTCCTTCCTGCACCAAGACTTTCTGTTTCTGGATCTGAACTTTGCTCTGGATTGAAAAAAAAAAAAAAAAAAAAAAGTATTTAATTCACTTCAATAGTTCAATCACTTCCCAGAGGACTTACATTAGTGATGCACCAGAAACTCAGAATAAAACCAGAAGCTGCCATAAATATCTCTAGGCCAAATTAATATGCCATATATGAATGATTTTCACTTGAGAAAAGGAATTCCCCTGGTGAATAAGGCTGAGAAAAAGAAGACTGCAGAGGTTAACCTGATCCTATGGTGTGATAATATCAACAGGAACAAGCAACATTTGTGCATCAGTTTACTTTCAGGTCATTGTACTTACCACTTGCAGGAGAGCCAGGTACCCAGCACCAACGTTATCAAAGTTAACTTTAACTTTTGTCCAGTAAAATGTGCCAGAAACATTATAGAGTATGCAGTCACTCATGTTGTTAATAATTTTAGAGTCTAGAGGCATATCTCCTTCTGTCTTATTAATGCACTTCCCAAACTTCCCAGCAAACAGGTTGACTCCCATGATGCTGAAGATGAGCCAGAAGATGAGGCAGACGAGCAGAACGTTCATGATGGAAGGGATGGCTCCCACAAGGGCATTGACCACCACCTTGGGTGAAATGGGAGAGAAAGAAACAAAATTACTTACATTTTTTCAGAAGAAAAAAAAGTAATTTCTAGAGGGATGACATTTTTTTCCAGATGTATCTTTTAATTCAGAAGCAATCTGCAAAGTCACCGTGACCTCCCAGATCCTACTGGATAATACACTTCAGTCAGATCAGTTTTAATAATCATGCAATTAACTGCATGGGGTACATCAGTGTCTCAAATAGAAAAAAAATCTGAAATCTTTTACTGAGCTTGGGCCTCCATAATGCTTGGGCTATAAACTCCAGCTGTGATAAATTTTGTTGTCCTAAACCAAAGTCTGCTATCTGGTCAACATGAATGATTAAAACAGGGGAAGCATTATAATGTAACAAAAAGATGACTTTACGTTTTCCCATGACGTGCTGTAAAGATCCACTACACCAATCCAGGCAGAGCTGGATCCCCCAGTTTAAAACCACACATAAGAATGTAGGTAAGCAGACTCTAAGATCTTTGCCTCCTCTATCTATATCTTTGAAACTGAGACAAGGTGATATTGGTCCATAAAAACAGAATTTTACTCAGTTGTGAATCTGATTATCGAAAATGTCAGTTTTTGCTTTTCTTGTATTACTGCCCAACTTTCTGCCAAGGAAATGATGTATAGCAGCAGATCATTTACAATACAAAATACAAAATTACATAACTCTTTCAAAATCCATATTTGTCTTTTGTGCATTTATGAACGAAACTAATTTTTACACAGGAAAAACTGCCTGATGCTATATTATTTTCCTTTGATGAGGCCATTCTTAATTACTTCAATTATTTCCTTTTCCCCCCCTCCTCAATCTAAACTTTCAGTTTTGGATGCTTTCCATTCCTAATTTTATTGCTTTAAAACCAAGTTTTCTCATTATCAAAAATGCCAAAAATTCCAAGGGCTTATTTGAAGACACTTTCAGCCTTTGTCAAAGCAACTTTCGCTCATTTTCCTATGAGGGACAATATTTCTGTTCCATTTCCATCTGTGCCAGCACAAAGCCACTGTGCTGACGTCACGTTTGCTGCTGCACCCACTTCCACCCATAACCCCATGACAGGGCACAGACATTGAGGTTCCAGCACTGAAAGCCATGGCCATGCCTGCATCCCTCTTTTTCCCCTCTGCCGAATCATGTTCAATGACTCAGAGATAATGAAACATGACACGAGACTGGAGCAAATCCTGCAACACCTCTCCAAATGAATTATGAAGAGAAGATTTGATTCTTCCCTCGCTGCTGCTGCTCTTACACCAGCCTGATGCCATCTGCTCTCCTGGAAACGCTCCTCATTTGCAATGGGACAAGTGAGAAGACTTAAAGACCTGAATATGTGAAGGCAAGTTATTATCATAAATTCATGCTAAAAGTTTAGCTGCTAAACTTGCCGTGGAAAGGCAATATCCATAGACCTGTTTAAGAATAGGTTTTATTCTTCTTCATTTCCATCAATGCCTGATAGGGAGAACAACCTTCTCAATGACGTCTAGAAACTGAGCCACCTCGTGCCCAAATTCACAGTGGTATAAATGTTGCACCACTTGTGCCTGGTCCCCATCCATCCTCTTCGCATGGATCACCTTCCCAGATGAAGCTCCTTCAGATTTTAAATCCAGACATAGATTTGCTCAATGTGTTAATCCCACCGTTGCTACAGAGGCCACCAGACATCTTGTAAGTATTTGCAGGCCCCAGCTATAATTCCTAACCAAACTTGGGCATGGCTTTTGCAAAGATATTTAATTTACACTGTTGTGATTTCAAATGGTGGACCAAAAGGATAATGAGATCATCTACTCTTGATGTTCTTTGTTATAAACAGGTGCCACATTTTTGTGTCAGGTTTGCTCAGTTTGAAACACTACTCACCTGCTGTTAGATATAAAATCATAGAAACATTGAACCATACAATCATCTATTAGGGAATAGCTTGAGTTAGAAGGGATCTTAAAGATTGCCCAGCTCCAACCCTTGCCATGGGCAAGGATACTTCCCACCAGACCAGGTTGCCCAAAGTTCCATCCAGTCTGACTTTAAGCATCTCCACAGATGGGGCACGCAGAGCTCTCTGGGCAGCAGTGCCAGTGCCTCACTGCTCTCTCAGTGAAAAATTTCTATTTCCTATTCCAAGGCCACCCTATTTCATTTTAAATCTGTTACTCTTGGGCCTATCAGTGCACTCCGTGATAAAGAGATATCCTCTCCTTTCATCCCAGTTTATAATATGGATGAGTTACCGCTGAATACTGCTTTGAGTAATTAAAAAACAGAGCTTCTTTCTAACTGCTGTGGTTCCTTTGGATTTCTAATAATGCTGGTAGCTCCCTGCAGAGAGTTTCCCATTTTTAACAGCCCAGATCCAGCGCTTTGGAGGGATTCCAGTATTCCAATGCTGCCAACCAAGGAAGCACTGCACTCTTCTACTGCTTGTGATGTTATTTCCTGTGTACTGAAGGATTGTAATAGTCACCTCCTGTATCAGACTTGCCCAAAAGGTTGTGTTGTGCTGTTTACCCCAATCCCTAAGTCCTTCTTATCTGCTGTTTTCCAAGAAACGTTCCCAGACTGACCTACTTTTCTGCTCCCGCAGTTTACAATGCATGTGATTTTATTAAAATGCATGTTGCACAACTGATCTGGTTTTCCCCATGATCCAGATCAGTCAGTATAATTCCCTTATCTGTAATATCACTTACTACCCCGCTCACTTCGTGTCTTGTCAGCAAAGATGCTATATTTTCTTCCAGATGCTGCTAAAGTCCAGATTAAGGACAGTTCTTACTGCGACAGATCCCTCCGCCTGGGACACTCATCACTGAATTTACAATGTCATCACTATTTACAATCACAATTTTCAGATCTGTCATCCACTTTAAATTAATCTGAAGTATGTTTATTTGGCTCGGGATAAAGCTTGTGTTTTGATCACAACTGTCCCGTAGTATCGGATTCCACTCTGTAATCTAAGGACATTATATCAGCACAGTTACAATCATCAGCATAATTTGTAATCAAATCAAAGGGCCATATCAGTTGCACAAGAATTATTTCCATGAAATCATGCTAACTAGCATTAATTATGCTATTTCTTTCCTGATGTATCTTGTAGCAACCTCTCCTTGACTTTGCCCAGTATCAGTTTCACATTAAACAGTCTATCATCATCCCACTTATCCTTTTGAAACGCTGCAATAACCCTCTTTGCTGGGAAGAGCCTTGCAGAGAATTGGAACCTCTGAAAGTAATGCCCTGAGGGACAAGAGATAGAGAGACACAGAGACTGTGTAATTTGGGACAGGTAGACCTCAGTTAATTTACCATGGGCTCCAGCATGGTTTGAAATGTGGTAAGTGATGGGGCAATGGTACATGCATGGCATGATAGGGAGCTGTAGTGACTCCCAGTTCCTGAAGTATCTTCACTACATTTCTTCACTACAATGTCTTTTCTGGGGACAGGAGAGCAGTTCTGCTTATCTTTATTCACTAAAGCTCCGCTTTACTTTGCTGATACTTCTGGTATGGTGAGAGGTGCCAAAGGCTGCTTCCAAATCACAAGTCTGAGACCATCCATCAAACTGCTACACTGTGCCTTTGCCTCAGGACCAATTGCTTCCAAAATTTAGGTGCACCCATTTAAGTCTTTTGCTGCAGTAAGAACTTTCTTGCTCCTGCTCTCACCGAACAGAAATCCTTATTTAAGAAAAAATAAATTATACAAGAACAAACTGTTATTTTCTTACTGTCAGTGTTTGCTTCTGACATTATCATGATTTAATTCATCACTGCACTGGCAATTTTCCCATGCATTCTGGAGCATACGAACTCCTAATAATGAAAGGTCTAACTATCCCTAGCTGTTTTAAGTGTGGTTAGACATACCAAAAATAAAATGATTTGGTTTTCCAATAGCACGTATTGTCAATTACACTTTATGATAGTTACAAGCTAATTCACTACCTCTGATGGCTCAGAAAGACTGAATACATTTCAGTTGCAGCAATGGTACAGGGAGGTGATCAAGCACAGGGCAGCTATGGACATCTTAGTGTGGATACTTGCTGGGCTGATGCAACATCATGTGTCTACACCATCCAGGATATCCAGGAAGCCAACTTCTTGCTGTTCTCAGAAAGCCTCTCAACAGAGCTGTGAACATTTTCATGTTCTTTCTTTCCTATTGCATTTTCTCGTTTTTCCAGTGCTTTAGGCTACTCTGTCCACTGTTTTTAAGGATTGAGTTCAATTTAATTAAACTGACACAAAGTCATGAGGGAGTATTCTCATGTCAGCTTAGAATACGTTGAAGGGGTTTTGCTTGAACTTGCAAATCTACCACTAGAAGCTAAGTCTTCATAAATCAGTTTTAAATTAATTTGCACAAATCTCTCTGGAAGTTAAACTAGTGCAACTTTTACTGAAACAAACTTTTATTCAAGCTGTGCCTGCTTCATAAAACCTTTGAGTGAGGTCATAAGGTGGCATAAGATTAGGACCCTTAGCAACATCCATAGTGTGACATCACTTTGTACCAGCTGTGATTCTGCAGTTTACTGTTGTTTTAATTTGTGGATAAACTTCAAAATACTACCTGTGCTTGCTGGAAGGAGTGTGGTGGACAAAATAAAGCAGATCTGGTTGCCCGGATGAATATAGATTTTGCTGATCTTTATCTCAAAAGTCATGTAATTTAGAGAATCACAAGTTCTCTGGGACAAAGCAATATATCCTTAATATTGGTCATCCCCAGAACAGGCAAACAATGGGTAAAGGGTTTTCATACCCATCACCATGTTTCTTTAGTTGGAGGTCAGGCTCTCCTAACTCCTGTCTCACAGCAGCGGTACTGCAATGAGAGCAGTTAATTGCAAGGAGCTCCGTGCATGGAGCTCACTACATGTTCACAAGTTAAATCTGATTGTGAGAAAGATGCAATCTGCAAGTAGCAATTAGCAGTAACCTCTGCTGATACAGCACTTAGTTCTCAGGTTAAACGGTGCAAAGAGTTAAATAAACAAAGAACTCATCTAGCCTGTGATTGATCCATTCAGCAAATAGGTTGCAAATTAACAGGTATGCTGTATACATGAAAAAGAGCAAAACTAAAAGACAGAACAACAACACAAGCTACATAGTTTTAACATCAGTCCTGATATCCCACATTAAAACTCTGATCTGTTCAAATGAAAAGATTCGCTTGCTTTCCATATCTTTGGCATTTTTAATTTTTGATTTAATTATTAGTGAAAAAGTCCTTAAGAACTTTCCCAGTCAGTCTTCTTTTAATACATGCCAAAGACAGGGAGTAAATTTGAAGCTTGGTTATTCCTCTGATGTGCCTTATAAAGCAGAGGTAATTGCTAGCCAGATGCTTCCTCAGCCAAAAAGCTGTTTTCTGAAGTGAAATATGACAAGTTAGGCAGCAGGATTAGTTTATCATGACATCCACTGGAGGATAAAGCTGTTATGGTACAATTACAATCAAGACAAAGGAGGGATTTCTGATTTTGTTGTTACGGGACAGCATTATCAATCATTTTCTTTAGCAGAATAAATGAAGACTAAACCAAGTGCATCAGGGCCCTGTTACATGCTTGTTGTCATGCATTTCAACTTTGGTGTTTTATGTGCTCTTACCCTCATCCCTTCAAACCGTGACAACGCTCTCAGTGGTCTCAGAGCTCGGAGGGTCCTGAGGGATTTAATGGGACCCATCTCGGAGTATCCAAGAGTGTTGGCTATGAGGCTTATTAAGGAGACCTGGATGAAGATACAAAGCAAAAATCCAAGCTGTTAGTACGCTTCTGCCATTTTCTTTCTCTTCTGCCTTTTCTTTCTGAAAAGTTAGTGGGACAGTGGAAATAAACACAGATTTAAATAAGAGTCATTTAATTGGAACAACAGAGAAAAAAAGTTTTTACATCCTCACATATGCAGAACTCCTACCAACTCACAGAACTTCTTTTTTTTTTCCATTTTAAATGCAAACTTTATACAATACACTTTCAAAGATGTTGGTTTTCTTTCAACTAAGCACAGAGGAATCTTCTCAATGTCAGCTTCCACAAAGTGGATGAGAAAAGACATCACTGTTATGAAAGCAGCATTCTCTGATACCCATGCTGTAGTTTCCTGCATGCTTCTCAAGGTGTGTGTGCCTCTCCTACTGAAGACATGATGAGTCATGTAAGTGCTATAATTTAGGGCTTTCCAGATGAAAGAACCTGTAAGATCTATCCATTTCCAGCCGTGATAAAAGATTTTAGTCTTACCGTTCAATTATCCATCTTACACTTACTCATTAGAAAACAAGTCTTCTAGATTGCTGATCTGATTTAATAATGTAGACTCTAAAATAATCCTGTTCATGGCTTTGAATCTGCACTTTTTCACTTTATTCTGGTTCCTGCACAGCCTCCAAAGGGAAAGGAAGCTCAGTTGGCGCTCAGTGCTAAGGCCCATACATCTCAAAGACTATTTCATTGAAATACATTTTGAAATATTTTCAAATCTGAAGGAATCATGGAAAGGTTTCAATGCTCTTCATGTTCTTAGAGCTTTCATATTGCCCATCTGCTTGTATTAAAAAAGGAACCAAAATGAATCTCCACATGGAGATTCTCCAAAGGGCAACACGGTGGCACATATTTATGTCTTTGGGGGAAAGATCAGCATAGAAAATGGCCTCAACTCCAAAAAACTTGGAACTCCCTATCAAGAAAGGTAGGAGATATGAGAAAAATACTATACTAAGTGGTAGAACCACAATCTGCACACTCAAACACTTCAGAGTGATCTCATTCACTGTAACATAAATGTACAGATTTATAATGAATCAATAAAGAGCACTCAACACCCTCCTTTTTCTGGCTTTGCCCAGTGACTGCAAATCAGATATTTTCAATGTTTCCAACCTGCCCTGGTTATGTGCATCTGCACGCTTCCTCCTTCATCCCAGATTTACATCCTTACCTCCCTTTTCCATCAAGGCAGATGATGTCCTGTTCAAATCCCACAGGACCAGACCTTGGATCTGAGCAGATTGCCATTTTCTCTAGAGTGCCACAAATGTCACCCTGATACACATCACAGGTGCTGTTGTCCTCCTGACACAGATTTACACAGCATTAGATATCTATTCAGAGGATTAGGCCATGAAGCAGTGTGATATTTGGCAATGATTTACAAGGCTGGAGTCAGAACTGAGTTTGTGGCAACTTGTTTAAATGCTCATCTGTTGGTTTTTGAAGGTATCCCCGTCAAACATTATTTATAGGAGAATCACTAACCCACAGGCTTGGCCATTTGGACTTGATTAAAAGTGACCTGGAAGGTTATTTTTAGGAAATAAAAAAAACAAGCAGTTTTCAAAATTGGTGCTGACTGCCCCACATAATCATAGCAAAAGGTGAAGTCAGCGGTTTCTGCAAGTTTTTTTTCCTGCTACAGCCTGGAGCTACTCTAAGCTTCTGTTTTTATTCCTTGCTCACTATGAGAATCCTGCAGGCATCCAGAAAACACCAGCAGTACCTGCATGGCCTCCACATTCATAATACTGCTCATATTTCTAATCCTTCCAGTATCTGTTTGCAAATGGTTTTGTTGCATTTTCAGACAAAAAATACCTGTAAGGACCAGACAGCACTGGAACTCAGGAGAATCCTAAGAAATCCTACTGTCTTAATTGTTTCCCATAAAACACCCAATTTCCTGTTGGGTTTGAGATTTCTTTTGCATGGCACATATGTTAGTGGGGAAGCTACAGAGTCTCTCTCATCCTCTTGTGCACCTCTTCTGATCTAAGATGCCTTTTAATTGTTCTTATTTGCAGGTGCTCTCCTTTTAACATTGTGCTAGATCTGAGAAGCTTTCACAGTTTTCTATCTAAACCTTCCTTTCCTTCCCCTAATCAAGTAGCAGTACCCTCCACTTTGGCTCTAGGCTGCTCCACATCCCCTTCTTGATTTTTTTTGGTTCCTCTGAAGTCGCCAAGACGATGCTTTCAATGGAGTTTGCTATCTATCATGAACCCCAGTTCACAACCTAGTCAGCAATAAGAGTCTGTAAGGCTGCAAAAGGGTCCTCCTAAATCAGAGATGGGATCCTTCCTCTACGGACATTAATAGCAGAAGTTCCAGCAGTTCCATGGGCTGGGATTTCAGTCACAGGACAGCTCTTCATGTCAGCACAGCCCAACAAGAACTCAACCTCAGCACTCTCAGTAACTCTGCAAAAAGAATTCCACCCTAAAAGAGTGGAAACCCCTGAAAAAAGCAGCTTTTACCACCTGGCTCAATGGCAGAGTTGAGTTTCCCAGTAAATCCCTGGTTTTGAGCAAGACCACAGTCGATGTCCCCTGGACAACTTGGCTTCTTACCACCCCTGTAGAGTGATGGGTGTTGCTGAGGTCTCTCTGATCCTGGCATTTAGGAAAATTTGTCTCTCCTGCTTCTCACTTTCTTTGCTCACAGGTAGTTTTACCTATATATATCTACAGATGTATCTATGCACCATATTTCTATATGCAATTTATCCAGATAGATTTCCTTTGCTGGGGAAAATGATGGATCTTGAAGGGGTTTGTACGACAGCTTCCTGGAGATCTTCCTGGTACAGAGGAAGATGAATGGACTTCACATCTTTCTTTTTTTTTTGCCATTTTCAGTGTTATGCTCAAGAAAAAAATCAGAGCTTTTAAATCCTGTGACTGCACTGAGCACCAGACATGCCAGCCATGGGGATTATCCGGCCAATGCATGGTGTTCTGAAAGTGAGCCTGTGTCATCTATAGAGCTTAGCAGCATGGGTATGTCACTGCACAACATTTACAGGTGTTTCCAAGGCAAAATTGAGAAGAATCAATGGATTCAGACTGCTGTAATACAAGCAATGATCTCTAAAAGGAGATAGCCTCACTGATAGCTCTTCAAAGTTGTTGCTATTATGCTTCTAATGAGAACAATGCCTAAATTTCTCAATCATTTTAACAATGCACTACTAGATTGCATTTGAGAAAAGGTTTTGTTCAAGAATCAGGATGTAGTCACTCCCATTATGCTCAGTGTTGTTCCTGCAAACCAGCCTTGGTGCGTCCTGTATCCACCTGTGAGAAGCAAAGTGGTGGGGATGGCAAAACCAGCTCTTTGAAAATGTATCGGCTTCTTCTCCAGCACTGGCTTTACAGAGCACTTCTGCAAGCTATCAAATGTTTCAAACTCCTTGAAGAACTCTACGGGGAGCACATTGGTACTCACATAATTCATGAGCTAACAGATCTGCAGCACTTCTCGGACTATTGAAATTATGAACACAGAGATAAAGTCACAGAATGGGTATATATGTCTTCACTATCTGACAGTGACTTAAGAAATTGGTGTTGTAAACCGATATAAACCCCAGTAAAGCTGTCAAAAGAGAATTTTAAGAGCGTGGAAAAAAGCATTGTAAAGTAGGAAGTGCAATAATGAGTTTCCTTTCAGCACACACAGAGGAAAGGGTCTTTAATCAAAGGAGACAGGTTTTTTCCTAAGGAGCTATTGCATTTATAACAGTAGTTGGGTTACTTCCTATACACCTACATTGTAATAGTACTTCAGGAGCATGCACACCCCCTATTCAGGCAACCTTGCTGGTGCCAAAGGGCACAGCCTTAGGGAGCAGCACTTCACCTGAGCCTGACAGAGCTCCCATAACAAGGAGGCAGATTTGAGTTGCTGCCTTTACTTGCAGATTTGAGACCTTTTATTTGTATTTATGTATTTATTTTGCAGTTTTCTCACCACCCTAAAAGCACATCCTTCCAGATACCAAAGTAGACCCACGCAGAGTGATGCTTCTTGGCACAGACCACATCATCACTGACATGAATTAACAGCAGAGCCAAGGAATAAACCGTTTGGTCTGGGCAGCTTTAAGAATCCTCCTTGGCTGCCAATTTAATGCCTCAAACCTGTGGGAAGGTTACTGCTAACTACACACCCTGCAAGCTGGGAGAGGAGCACAGACCTCGGCCCTGGCTGAGGATGCAGCACATGCTGTGTGCACTCAGGGATTTCATCAAATTAACCTGATTGCTCCAGTGAGAGACTGGGGACTGGGAGGAAGAAAAAAAAAGGCTGTTCAAAGCGGAACACAGCAGCTGAGCTGAAAGCTTGGGCCACTTGTTTAAATTAGCCATTTTAGCTTATGCAGGGCCCCCATGCTTTCAAGTAGCTTTCTGTGTGCCCCAGCAACACCTGTCTCTCTCTAATTGTGCTTAATTCATTTAGTTATTTGTTTTTTAAATGCAAGGTAGAAGGAAGAGAGCTTGGATTACTTTGGTGTCTCTTCCATCAGATTCTCACAAGGCCACGTGGCAGCTCAGTGCCATTATAAACCAAACCCCTGGTCCCCAGTTGCTTCTCCTCATTTGGAAAAGAACAAAGTTACATCTCTACCCTCACTACAGAATGAGAAAACTGGAGGGAAACAGGAATTTGCAAATACAGTTGAGATATCTGGAGTTTCTGTTAGCTCTCTCAAATACCCTTTGGTGAACAGGGTCTGTGTAATAACGTTGCTGTTCCCTCCAGCACCTATCACATCTGAGCAGAAGTTTATTATCCCCTTAATCTTTTCTCGTATCTGTTTACCCTTTCACTCGGGCACTGCATTTTCTGCCTCACAGATGCCTAATGCATGATTGCACCTGCAATTCCAGAAGCTGCTCAGCAGCAACAAAAGGCAGAAAAGTAAATAAAAGCCTTTAAATTAGGACACCA